ACGGATTGACAGAGCCGGAGCCCACGCTAAGCAGAGCTTGTTGCGTAGACCCCGACCCCTACCGTCCGATCGCGCAATTCCGGGTAACGGGAGAATTTAGATGCCAAAGTTTAACGTGCCCTTCCAAGCCGGACACGGCCTGTCCCACTCAACTGACTTCAACTGGCTGCGGCTGCTCCCACCAACCGCAGACCATCCCCGTCAGGAGTCTCAAATATCGAGCGCCGGAGCGTCTCGAACCCGGGCTCTCACTACCGGGAGTCCAATGCTCTACCAACTGAGCTACGGGACAGGCCAATATTTGGTATGTTGTCGGTATTATGAACCCTCACTAATATATAAGAGGGCAGAGGCTTATAAATTGGTATAGATTTGGTATTTGCCTAAGGTTCCTAGGTTGGTTCGGTTTCGGCATTTCCTCACCGTTTTGGTTGGTATTTGGTTTGGTATCGGTATTCCGATTTTCTGTAATTGACATCACTAGTACCTACCGATCGACCGGAGGACCCTGGTTTGGGTAACCGCAGTGTCTCAACAACAGCCGTCCTTCCGATAGGGGTAACTGCTCTCCGCTCACCGCTGGTCGCCGAAAGAGGATGGCGTTGGGGGCCTGGGTTAGGCTGACACTTTAGCCAATTTGTGTGCTATGCTGTGGTGAAGGGAAAGCGTCATGCCCGGATGACGTCGTCACCCTCGGTTACCAAGAAGTGTCCGATGGGAGTGAAAAGACGCCCGATCCCCATTTTGGCCGATGCTGCTCCACTCCCTCTCGCAGTCGCTCCACAATAATTACGTTACGCAATCGATTACGACCCGCTTACCCTGACGTGGTTCCTCCGTTTCTGCTATCGACAATGCTCTGCGCAGTTAGGGGCAGAGTGCCCGTGATGTTTCCTCTGGGTGAGGCACTGCACCGGTCCGGCACGTTACCCTATCGAAGTCGGGTCGCGGGCTTTGGTGATTTTGGTATACCGATACCAAAACGATACGAACTCGGTATTTGGTATTTAAAACCAAATGCACTTGGTATTTTGTTGGTATTTTGAGGCTCAACTGATGTAAAAGATGCTCTGAAGCTGGTAAAAAGTTGGTTTTCCTATCACGTTTACAAGTTGGTTTAGCTCTATGTATTTTCCCATTGTTAGGTATTTGATTTGCTATTGATGTCCAAATTGTCTGTGCTTGACATCACTACAGTGGTGCCACTACCACGCCACTGAAATATCACACGAGGATGACCAATCCCGAGATGAAATGAGCTCAATAGCCCACCGGCTCAGCGGTCGTATTTAGTGGATAGCACATTCTGATTTCTGACGTTAAACTGTCTACCTATGCGAGAAATTGTCATATACCTATGTAGGTACGACACCTATACCCAGCAGGAGTCGATGTGCCATCGTGAGCCTATAGTCTGGCATCCTGCAGGTCCTGCACTCTCGACACCAGACCACAACTAAAACGTATATGCTATGTCATCGAGCGGCCGGAGGGAACTGCTGCCATACAGCCATCAAAGTCGGTGGACGTGGCTGGACAACGGCTGCCTCCCTGTATATGGGACAACGGCTGTCTCCCTGTAAATGGGACAAAGGCTGTCTCCCTGTATATGGGACAACGGCTGTCTCCCTGTAGCGGAGGCAGCGGCTGTCTCCCTGTAGCTGAGGCAGCGCGGCTGCCTCCATGGGACTTAGGTAGCGGCTGTCTTTAACGGCAGCTGAGACAACGGCTGGTTCTCTGTAGCTGAATAGGCGGCTGTCTCCCTGAGACTGAGGCAGACGCTTTCTTTCTGTAGCCGAGACAACATCTGTCGCCCTGTTGCTGAGACAGCGGCTGTCTCCATGGGAGGCAGCGGTTGTCTCAGTGGGACTTAACCAGCGGCTGTCTCCCTGAGGCCTGAGACTGAGGCAGCGGCTGTCTCCGTGGCCGGTACGCAGCGGCTGTCTCCCTGAGGCCTGAGACTGAGGAAGCGGCTGGCTCCCTGAGACTGAGGCAGCGGCTGTCTCCGTGGCCGGTACGCAGCGGCTGTCTCGCGGCTGTCTCTGTAGGGCTGAGGCAACGGCCGTCAAATCCAGAGGCGGAGACGTCTTTCTCCCTGTAGCTGAGGCAGTGGCTGTCTCTCTGCATGGCTATTCGGCACTCGGAATGATACACCTCACCAGCTTATTGAGGTGCAAATGATTTAGAAAAGTGGCTGCAGCATGGCTCGGTGACTCAGGCGAGCTGTGGTAGCGACATATCCCGACTGCCGAGCCACAGTATTGTGTCGCGCGGCGGCGCCCCGTCTGAATCAGTGCCCTGTGTGTGTGAGCTGTCGGCCGGCCGTGCGCGGTCTCTCGTTAGCCCGCGGCGGCGCCCCAGTGAGTCACCGCCTCCCATTGAGGCGCCTCCAACGACAGCGCGGTGGCCTCCGTGCTTCGCGTGCGCGGGTGAGGGGCGGCAGAACCGGTTACCGGACTGACGAGCTCGCATCACATGGAGCGCCCGGCCAACGTGACGCTGCCGGTCGTGGCTTGATGAAAGAGACTTAGGTAGTTGAACACCGGCAGGCTGGAAGGGGCAGCTTCGTCCAGACTCGTTATAAAAGATTCTGAGAAAAGATTATCGGTGATGCCGAAGATTTCTGATGGCAGCCTTGGCCTGCTAAGAATACCAAGGGCATGTGAAACTAACAATGTGGTGATATTATTTGGCATGTGCTATACATTTTCATTAAGCCTGGTAACTTCATGCAGGCGGATTGCACGGAGCGAAGCAGTGCGGCCCTATCAGATAGTGTGCACTGTGCAGGGTGCTGAGCGCAGAGCACAGTCTGTGTGTCTGCTCTGCCCTTCCAGCCCGTCTCTCTGTGCTCACACCTCTGAGTGAATCAGCCATGGCTGCCATGAACCGCGGTCAGGCGATCAGAGGGCGGCGGTCAGACGGCGATCAGAGGGCGGCGATCAGAGGGCGGCGATCAGAGGGCGGTCAGAGGCGATCAGAGGGCGGTCAGACGGCTCCTTCCCATCCGGACTATTCCGCATGCTGCATGCATCATCATTCATCACCATCAGTAGCTATCCCGACTTCTGTAATCTACAGCTGTATGCACATTGCACAGGAGCGAGCTATAGACCACCGTATGTCGTCTGGTCCTCCTGTGTGTCCCGGGGGACCACCTGTCCCTCTGGATCCGACACTCCGGAGCTGGGGGGTGACCCTGGACCAGCAGCGCCGGACGGCCGGCCCGGTACACGCGGAGCTCCTGCAGTCCTCCTGGGACGAAGCCCCGAGATAAGGACCGACTGACACTGCAGTTCCTCGACAGGAAGGAAATGAGCAACAGACCAGTGTCCACGACGCGGGCCGCAATGAATGGTCAATGAGGCTGCGCTTTGTATCCGGATTTTGGCCACGGATTTCCTCGGCGTGACTTATTCTCTGACTTACTGTGACGGGTCATCTGCACTCAGCGACGCGTCACTTATGGACAAAGGAGCATCTTTCTGCACATATGATACCATGAATCTGTATGCAGTTCATGATGCATTGGTGTTTCGGGCTATACGATTGTCGAGTGCCTACTCTCATTTATCAGCATGCAATTGTTTGATGTAGTAAGCCGCAAAGAAAAATATTATTTCCCCTGGACTTTTGCAATACCCTTAGCCTGATAACTGGGCCCCATTCCCTGACATGGCACCCTAATTCCCTTTTCGACAAAATAAGTCCTTCCACAAAACAACTCTGTTTCGATAAATTTATTTGTTTTCCTATATAACGGTTTAAATAACTCCTCATAATATGTGCATTGTGCAATAGTCAATACATTAGCTTTTAATGATATATATTTGTTCAAGCTCCCTTTTAAATCTCAAGGAATTCAAGGAGGTGAAGAGCTTAAAAAGGTAAGGCATAAACCGTGATTGTCATTTGAAATAGATATATAAGGTCTGGTTCACTTATGAAGACCATAGGTAGGTAGGTATACCAAAGGCCGTGCCGGCGCTGGAGTCGTTTCGCCTCACAGTCACAAGAATGTAGACAAAAGCGGATACAGATAACCTGCTTGGATTTTCGGAGACACAACCACAGATTCTCCTCTCGTATGTGCCCGTTCGCTAATCGCCAAATAACTTGGAAAACTCATACCCAAACTGCCTCCACCCGATGAGTGGTGCCGATGTGCAGTTTGTGCACAGTGAACAGCGGTGCTGTGTGGGTAGACAAATCAGCATGGCAGCTCCGTATTTCCAAATAAAGCGTGTCATGCAGTGACGTGTGGTGTGATCGTCCGGTGGTGTCACCGTCCCGGGTCCCATCAGTGCGGCGTTTCCGGCGCACCTGGTGGGACCGGCGGGACTCGCTGTGCACCGGCGGGACTCGCGGTGGGACGGGCGGGACTCGCGGTGCACCGACGGGCCGTCCTGCCGCGCCGCGCGCGCCGCTATCGGGGCTCGGAGGGGGGCGTGTTTGCACTTCTCCGGTACAGAGTCCAACAGGTCGCTGTGGTGCCATCTTTCACTTCCGTCCGCGCGCCGTCTGATATGGCCAAGAGAGAGCCGCCAGTCAGAAAACGTCTCACTCCCTGGGGCGCTGTCATTTGCTGGCTATCCTCAGTAACTTCAGTATCCTCCGCTGCGTCAAAGATACCTACCGCTGTGGCATAATTATGAAGCGGGCAAGGTTGTTTCTTCCTATTCTTTTTGTCAGTGAACTGAACCGAGCATTACACTACCCAACTTTACCGATTGAAATATTTAAGATATTGCTCGTGGTAGAGACCTCTGCCATCGAGGCTACACCACTTATGTAACCACCATCCCAGGAAGCCGATAAGAGCACCGTTAGCGCTACTTCTGCCCGAGTGTCGCGCCCGTGACAAGGTCGGATGTGCGCCGGGGTCGGCCGCGCGGCCCACGCAGTTCCTCCGGACCAGCGCTGACGTCACGGACAGTTCTTCCGGGCGATATTGCGCACCGGAAACGGTCTGATAGAGGGCGGCCACGGCCACTCACTCCGGGACAGTCGGGGTGCCGCGGGAGGGCGGCCACGGTCACACACCCCGCGGGTCGGACGAGGTGGTGCCGACACAGCCGCGGCGGGTCGGAGCGCTGCTGCGGTGTGATTTGGTCCGCTGAGTGTTGTGGTCGGGTGCGCTGAGGCGCCGCGCGATCTTGCTTCATCACGCTGTTTGTGAGCACAGCGGAGGTGGTATATACGAGTGACTGTTGACTGCGCCGGACTGGTGAGGTCTGATAGCCGCCCGAGTGAGGCTCGCTGCACGGGTGCCCATTCCGAGCGCCGGCTGCCGACCGAGTTGTCTCAGACGTCAGGGCGCCGCCATGTGGTCGAGACTGCCTGTGCGCGTGCTCTCCGGCCTAGTGCTGGTGGCTATCCTGCCAGGTAGGTAACAGGGTTCCAGCCCATGAAGGCTGCTCCCATCTCCCTGCTGCTTGTCCTTCCGGCCCTCGACCCTTTTTCTAACGTTCTGTTGGGCCTCGCATGGCTAACAGTTTCCTGTTTCCTGGTCGTTGACCTCTGTGGTCAGGCAGACAGCACCTCCATCAGGTGCAGTCCCTGCTGTCCTTTACAGGCAGATGGTGCCTGGTTAAATATCCCGTTACAGGCAGCTGGTGACTTATTCTACGTCCCGTTACAGGCAGCTGGTGATTGGTTCTACGTCCCGTTACAGGCAGCTGGTGATTGGTTCTATGTCCCGTTACAGGCAGCTGGTAACTGCAGTTCTATGTCCCGTTACAGGCAGCTGGTGACTGGTTATGACTGGTTCTGTGTGCTGTTGCAGGCTCGCTGCAGCTGGTGCGTTACCAGCCGCCCCGACTGATGCCCGCTGACCGGGACATCGTCATCGAGCCGGGCGGCACGCTGAGAGTGCGCTGCGAGGGCAACCACCCCGTCACCTGGAACTACTCGTCACTGGCCAGGGTAGGTTGCCGTCCGTCACCCATCAGGGTAGGTCCGCGTCCGGTCCCCCACCCACCAGGGTATAGGATATAGGTCCGCCGCCCGATAGGGTAGGTCCGCCGCCCACCAGGGATAGGTCCGCCGCCCACCAGGGATAGGTCCGCCGCCCGACAGGGTGGGGCTGCCGCCCGACAGGGTAGGTCCGCCGCCCGACAGGGTGGGGCTGCCGCCCGACAGGGTGGGGCTGCCGCCCGAGGGTATAGGACAGCCAGAGGAGGCCCGGCTGGTAGGGTATATGTAGGTCCGCCGCCCGACAGGGAGTGTCTGAAAAAGTGAATCGGTGTGTCGTCCACCAGGCAGGGTCCAGGGAAGTGTTAATGCATGGACGATTTCCTACCGATACATTTTAGCAAAAATCAGAAGATTGCAGCTCAAAGCTGTGCATAATGTGATTTTCCTGTTTTATCCTCTTTAAGGCTAAAACTCTTGAAACAGCCGATCCTAGCAATATTGTATAACTCACTCGAGACACATCCGATCCATGGCGCGGTGTACCGCTGCCCTGGCGTTTCAGCTATCCGTGTAGTAGTGCTGTACCTCGCTGATCCGGGGAACAGCGCTGTACCTATACCTTGCTTACCAATTTAGGCACCCTTTGGGTCGTTGTTTCTCTCAGTTCTGCAGAGCTGCGGCCTGCGCAGAGAGGTAGGCCTTGGCCCGATGGACGTCCAGCCAACGGGACGCGTGCATGTGAAGCGGGCATGGAGTATGTTCCACACTCCACAGTATAGTGTAGTTTATAGTTTATACATAACTAAATGAGTTGACAGTTTAAGGCCACATTAATTTTGCTGCGACACCCTCAAGCGATCTGCAAGAAGTCGACAAGGTTACTGAATGGCTGACCGGGAAGTGATACTTCAGTTTATTTTTAGTTTGCGCCTTGCATTTTTATTTGTTTAATGCGGTAGAAAAGTAAGTAAAAATAGTTAGCTGGTGAAGGCGCAATAACGAATGAGGTTATCGGGTAATGGCTGCCGGGGCCGGGAGCCGTATTTAGAGCATGCTGTTAAAAGTCTGTGAAGTAGGGGAGAGCGGGGTCAAATGTAACACGGGGCAATTATAACAGTGTTAATAATTCATAAACTTACCAATAGAATGAGCTGATGTTAAGACCGAAAATGCGTAATTCTATGCTGCCATTCCCAACGGAGTTTGAAGCGAAAGTGCCGGGTATGTCGATGGCTGTGCACAGTAATGCGTTTTTGAGGGCATTTTGTAAATTTTATGCCGATATATTTGATTAGCTCATTCCCGCCATTGAAAAGCTATCGACTTCAGACTTTGTGTAAGCGTTGACAGGGTTGTTGTCCATAAATTGAAAGCATTAAATGCTGTATATGCAACATCTTTTTGCGCCAGTTTCGTCTAATAGCCGCGACGGGGACAATTGTAACATTTTTGCAGGGGTCAAATGTAACAGGTTATAGGTCAGTGGCCATTAGGTCAAGGTCGTCAAATTTTCAAGGGAGATGAAACATTGCTAGAAATAAGAGAACTGTAGATTTTGTCTCAATCGGCAGCTTTTTACGCGATTTATTTGCGAAAAACCGAGGGAGAAGAGGTCCATCCAACCCCTCTAAAAGTGCGAGGTTTTAAGCCTTTTTCCTGAGAAGAACCGTACCTACCAAGTCTGGGAAGATGAACAAGTGTTCAATACTTTTATTAAATCAAAGTTTTGGAAAGAAATTGTGTTGCTGTAGCCTGCAAGTTAGCATGTTACAATTACCCCGGGTGGTGTTGCTTTTGATCCCGCATCTGGGGTGAATTGTAACAGCTGAACTGACTTTTTCGGACAACAATTTTGACCCGAAAAAGATGTTATTTCGGAAATGTTTTAACTGCATTTTAAAGACAAAACATCATAGTTTCTGAAAATAAAAGAAAGAGGTTTATAACTGCAAACATGTTTGCACCAGATGATGAAATGCAAAAAATGTTACCATTGACCCCGTTCTCCCCTAGCACCCATTAAAACATTTGTGTTTACTAACACACGAACGACAGAGTGCGATTAGAGTCCTTCATTGGTCAAATTTTATCTCCTTTTCCTAACGCCTCTCTCTCTCTCTCTCCCTCTCTCTCTCTCTCGTGTCTACGCCTGGTGTTCCTGGTTCTGGCCGTGCGTCTATCCGCGGCGCTCGGACGTAGACTAATCGGTGACCTGACATGACCTCCCTCAGAGCCAGCCGGAAGGACGGTCTGCGCTCGCTCGTATGCCGCATCAGACCGATTTCGTGGTAAGCCGAGCTGGCCAGGACTGTAGATAATGACGTCAAAGCTGGGCGCCCGAAGGAGCCTGCCTGCCACTGTCCGTCCATTGTCCGCCTGCCGTGCACACATAATTCGGGAGCTGCATGCGGTAACCGGTAGTCCAGTCTCGGCAAACTCGACGCTAACATCACGCCAAATGTATTTTGCGGAGCTAATAACGCTGTCGCCGGCTACAGTTGGCCGGGTGGTGCGCTCCACTTCGTGTACAGATAAGTGCGATAGCTGCATGGTGACATTACATGCTGCTTAGTGTCGACATTGCGATACCTCAACACGATGGGACTCGTAGATTCTTAGGCATGCTTATAGAGTTACACCCACAACGCTCTAATATCTGTCACTTCAATGTTTTAACGTTACAATCTTCATTTGGTGTTTCTCCTCAAAACATGATTTTTAGACAATGCGGGCATATGCATGATGACTAATGAGTTATGACCTTGGAAAACATCTTTTGTTATATTTGTTTACAGCTGTTTGTACTTACGCTGTATGCCTGCAATTAATATGCATCTGGTGCAATACATAGTTGCATTTTTATCGTCCAGACACCAGTTGCATGTCGGCCTACTCAGCAGTTTTGAGTTTAACGCTATTAAAGCATGTGCTATTATTTCATTTACTTATGTTTTGCGAAAATCGCGACTTTTATGGATGGCTGTTCGGCTAAAATAAGCAAAACGTGTGGTTTGTCACGGTTCTTTTATCAAAGGACGATAACATCCGGCCGCAAGTCCGTTAAGAATTTGAACTTTACTTGATAAGAGTGAAATAAATAGCCGTGTATACTGCGCGGTACGACTGCCACATCGTTAGAACTTAGAACACACCTTGAATGACCACAGTAAGGTTGATATGTAGGCCTGTATGCATTGTGTATGATGTATTATGCTGTGTATTTGTAGTTACCAATGAACAATAATGCTAGGCTCACTTTTGCTGTGATTTAGCACAAGTCTTTACGCTTGTGCTAATTCGGTGCTGATATTAGGACTGTTAGGCCGTATACATTTGGCATGTGGGCTGTAGCCTACGCATCGCAGTGTGCCATTACTGGCTCGCTCCGTCATGGAACACCTACACCGTCATACCGCCGCGGCTGAGGCCCAGGTATATCGTGTGTCCGCGGTTTTGTGGCAGTTTCGCTGCACCCTCTGGCCTCTACACGCTGGCATAGATGATACCCATTTATCGCCACTCTCCGGCTTCACGCTCGGCTTATGTGGTTTCATGTTCTACCCATGGCACAGCACACACCAGTTCACCCAACCCGCCACAGTGCGCGGCTGTAGTGCGGATAAGTGGGCGGGCGCTGAGGGTCTCCTCCCTACTCCAGCTATAGGTGTCCTGGTGCGACCGGCCTCTGCTGTATCCCGAGGGTTTTCAACTGGTGACCACTGACCGGGCAGCGAGCTGCAGGCGCAAGCCGTGAATCACTGGAGACTGTAGAGGACCTATGAGGCATCGGACATACGCTGTCTGCTAAACGCTGAAAATGGGAAACTCGGCACCCTTATTGTTCAGCCGTCGCAGGGATTTACTAGCCTCGGTAATCAGTCCGCCGTGTGCCTTTCGCGATCCGCCGAAACGGCGACGAGCTGCCATGTGTAATATGAGGCGAGGGGCTGGCTGGCTGACTGGTGTTGGCAGGTATGCGCCCGTGTCAGGTTCGCTCGCTGTGTGACCTCAGCTGCCTGCACTGCGGTGATGACGTCACCTGGGAGTGGGGGGGGGGGCGGGTATACGGTGACCCGCCGCCGTGGGACCCTACCCTATGCGACTGCTCCCAGCCCGCGCCGCGGAGCAGCTCTGGGGGCGATGGAGACGGAGAGCCAGATGAACAGATGGCTACCCAGGATCCCACCGTGCAGGAATGCCAAACATCTGTGATCGAGCGGCTTACGGGCAGTGCCTGCCGCGATAGGCGACTGGCGTGCGATCGTCTGTCCGTCCAGTTCTCACGGTCCTGGGCGAGTAAAGTAGGTCTTCCGCCGAGGCCGAGGGTTCAGTGGCTTTACCCAGTACTGGTCGTGGTCAGGATGAAAGTGTTCACCAGTGAACCCACAGCGGCGCACGGCAGTTACTGGAACGAGCGATTCCGCAGGCGTATCGCACGTATCTGCATACAACGCTGGCATATTGGCACGCACCGCGCCTCCGTCAGGAGCGCAGGCCGTGCGTTTGCAGTCTGAGATCGACAGGGCATGCCATGGATCCGTACCGGCAGTGGGTGCATAGGCCGTACGAATACTGGAAACTGGGCAATGCAAATGTCCATAATTCACTGACGGTATATTGGTGTAATGCAGCTGGTGCCGTATGTACGGGCCTACCGTACACAGTTTGGCACTCTCATTAACGGACGGCTCATAACTCACCGATCCAATGGATCGTTTGCGGATTAAGTCACAGATGATCTATTACCTGTGATAGCCTGGCGCCACTGCCGTGTACAAATGGCAGGCATAACGGCCTTGTGCGGGGTTCACAGTGTAGATTCATCTATGGAATATCGGCAATAACACTCGCTGTCGCTCTGAGACACGACTAATAACATCTCCGACGTTCTCCACCGTGTGGGCTCTGGCGGCTATTTGTAGCTACAAATACAAATACAGGGCTACAAATAGCCCTGCAGGCCGACCGCGCGCGAGGGGCTGGGGGAGGCCGGAGGGGCCTGGAATTGAGACTTGTTGACGCTGCCTCTGAGCTGCGAGGGCTCCGAGCTCAGTGCAGTTACTGACGTCATGTGATAGCACCCGGTCGCGCCTCAGGCGGCGGCATTGGTGGAGCATGACTGGGCGCTCTGACCTCAATAACCTCCGGCAGGGCATCCTGACCTCGGGGGAGAGGTGTGAGAGCGATAGAGGTGAGCAGCGCCCGGCGGCCACCGTGGTCCGGCGGGTAGGTCCTCGTTGAGCCACCCACGGATCGCTCCGATAGGCCGGTAACCATTTTCACGATGCTTTAGTCACATTTGGTGCGATTTGGTCAAATCAAGCTCATATTTGATTCTCAGTAGTTTCCAGCACTACTGGCACGCTTGGCACTAGTTGCTTATCTATCTGATTTATCGATATTTCAGATATTATTTTCGATTGAAACATTGAAACAAATTCATGATATGAACATATTTAGGTACTGTTTTTAAAAGAGGTTTGGTTAGATTTGGTCCAGTTCGGTCCATTTGCTAGATAACCCTTGAAAACGGCTTTAAGCCGCGTGGTGGATAGAGACCGTGACCTCAATGTCAAGGGCAGACACAGTGGCAGGCTGATCAGGGCCATTAAGGGCAATGGCACGCTTTAGATCATCATAGTTCATACTGTGTCTGGCGCAAAGAAAGGTCTTTAAAAATTAATCACATCTTGTGGTGACCAAACAGTTCACGTGCTTCTACGTTCATTTTGAAATAGCTGCAGCCCTCTAATCACGTTACAATTAATAAGCAAAGTTATAGAAAAGGTAAGATAAGATTCAATAACATGAATGGTCAGATTGTGCATAGGTAACCTGGGCGTACCGTTAATGTAAAAAGAAAAAAATACGACCGTTAACTGTTATAATGCAAGCGTTCAATGGTTTGTAATGCGGTTCTAATTTGCTGAACATGCGATCACTATGCCATTTTTTGTTGCAGTTTATGGGCCCTCGTTGTTGTTTTTTTGCGTTGCAGCCACCAGTAGCGGCGGAACACCTTCAATCAGGGGGGGGGGGGGCACTGCCGACTTTTGGTCCCATTCTTTCCATGCAACGCCCATAGGGCTTAGGGCTAATGTTAAAATGCCAAAATCAAAGGGGGGGTACGGTGCCCCGGTGCCCTCCCCGTTCCGCCGCCTATGGAGCCACATGTCCGCGGCCGGCCGTGTGTCTGGCGACAAGCCGAATCACTATTGCACCCGCTCGGCCGTCCGGCCACCCGCTCCTCTCTCCCCCCCCCCCCCGCAGTGAACCGAGCGACATCACCCCCGGCCACCCACTCCCCCCCCCCCGCTCTGGAGACGGCTGTGGGTCCCCGACATGAAACCGGCGTGCCAGTGCACAAGATGTGAAAACAGCCGCAATCTGCGAGCGTTTACTGCTATGAACTGCAACGCATTAGATGACTACCATTCTCGCCGAAGTATCTGACTCCATTTCGTAAAACGCTGCTCTGATTCATATCGCTATCGCTCTTTCCTGTCATGTGTCGCAGCTTTTTTTACGACGTTTACCTACCTTTGATTGCGCGTTGCGCAATGTGTGTCTAAATAGCGCCACATCACGATACACAGAATAGGTATACATGCCTACCGATCTACCTACATACGTGTACCTACTGCATGATATAGCTAACAAAACATTAGGCATTCGGCCAGCTTAGTTTATCTCCAGAATCAGTCGTATGTGTTAGCTAGTACATAGGCCTATACAATTTCACTGGGTTAGGTATACCTAATGTATTATAGCATTGTACATACAAGATGACTACAATATCTGAAGCCTTCAATGTGAAAAACGACGGTTCACATGCCTACCTAGCGTGCTAAAACTGATATAGGAGTTAGGAATGCTCATCTTAGTCTGTAGTCAGCAGTCCGTCCTACACGGTTTTACAAATACCTATAGCTATAACGGTTAACAGCTAGTAATTAGGTAGATAAGTAAATCCCTGAATCATGCTGTGTTGAAGGGCGGCTATTCCCACGCCGCCTTCCCTCGATCTGGAATCACTCTGCACGCCGCCTCTCCGTGGAGCTCGGAAAACTGGAACCCTGATCTGACCGGGGCCATTCCCGAACCGGATACTCAGGCAGACACCTCCCCGTCCCCACTGCCGGGCGGTAAAACCTCTGAACATCTCTGTACGCCGGGCGTGACCCTCGTATAGTCAGCGGCGCAATGGACCCCGTGAGTCGGCCGCTCGCCGGCTCGCCGGCTCCCGGCTCCCGGCTCCCGGCTCCGGGCTGGTGGCGGGGACGGGCGCTCCTCTGGTGACCTGACTGACACCCACCGGGCTCTCTGCAGGACATCGCTGACCGAGTAACCATCACGGACGGCACCAAGCAGGACAACCCCGAGTTCCCCTACGTCTCCCACATCGAGGTGAGCGTGCCGCCCAGCCTGCACGCAGCTTTAGGATGCGGTCGAAAGTGGACAAAAGCGCTTCATCAGTTTTAATTACACGATCGGTTTTAATTACGTTTTCTAAGGGTAAGTCAAAATTATAGATACTTTTAACAACCACTTTGGAATGAAGTTGCAAAGTATATTATTTAAAAGTCTATACTCTATAGATACTTCATGCGCTGCTTCTAATGTTTTCGAATGTCGTCACATCGGAAGATGACGTCTATCCCTCGCTGTATAGATGCTGCCGTGTAGTGCCCCCACACTGGCTGTGGCGACCGTTGACGTTGGTTGCTGTCGCGCCGGCAGATTCGAGACGTGACGTTTCTGGACGTGGGCTACCAGAGCTGCCACTTCGTGGGCACCACGTCCATGGAGGCGCGTCAGAACGTCACCCAGGTGTACCTCTTCGTCAACGGTGAGCGACGGCCGGCCGTCAATCATGTGATGAATAAAGTGGAATAGTCTCATGCAAAAGTGGAAACAATTATAAGGGCCTGTTTGCGTCGCATTGATGGAGATAGGTGATGATATTAAAGGAAAACATCACTCTGAATTGTGATAATTTCGAGGATTTATGGATCATCGTAACTACTATTGATGGATTTGTACTTTGTGCTTTCTTATTCCCGGCGGATGTACTAAGTCGGTTGTCACGCCACTACATACTCGTAATGTAATTCGTTGGCTACCGCTGTATGATATGGTGGTGTGAAGTGTGACGCCGGGGTACCGGGGCGTCCGCAGACCCCGCCAACCTGCTGGTGAAGACCAGTGACATGGAGTTCATCACGGTGACGCAGAACCAGGAGGCCGTGCTGGCGTGTCGTCCCACCCACCCGGACGTGGCCGTCACCCTCTTCAAGGACGGCAGAGAGGTCAGAGAGAGAGAGAGAGAGAGAGAGAGAGAGAGAGAGAGAGAGAGAGAGAGAGAGAGAGAGAGAGAGAGAGAGAGAGGGAGGGAGAGAGAGAGAGGGAGGGAGAGAGAGAGAGGGAGGGAGAGAGAGAGAGAGGGGAGAGAGGGAGAGAGAGATAGAGAGGGCGGGGTCCGGTCACAGAGCGACGAGACCCAGAGATGGATGGAACATTCAGGCTGCGCAAAAAAAAAGTTTTGAGAAGTTTAGAGTTACTATGAGAAGTCAGGCCTTCTGGCATATAAAATCGTTCGGCACGACCAAGCAATACCTTCATCCCGAGCTTTTTTTTTTGGTAAATTCGGTAAAAGTTTGGTCTTTGTCTATGCCCGGGTACAAATAATAATTAAAGGTAGTGTGCCAGCTTTCCTGGACCGTATGGAGTTAATGGCCCAGATAAGGAGAACCGGATTTTTAGAACTTATCCATACCTTCAAAACTCATGGAAACGTCTTAAATTCTTCAAATTTTGAGTACCCCAGTGCGAAATTCGCCCCGACGGGTTGTCGGTCGTACCCCAACCACATTTCACACCACTATGAACAATAAATGCACACACTGAAATCGCTATTACCGATATGCTCATCCAATCAAGTTTCGATAAACCCGTTCATCATCATCTCCTGCGGTTTCGAACACGCCTGTTAGGTGGTGCGGTAGACCGCGCCCAAAGCCAGGGCCCCGGTAACGTGAGGTAGCCGAGTCGGGGCAGCGTGCGCTGACCCAAGCCGGGGCCGCGCGTCCTCCCGGTGTCATGTGATAGCCCGGGGCTGCCCGCGGGGATGCGGTAGACCGCGCCCAAAGCTGCGGCCCCGGCTTGGGTCAGCGCACGCTGCCCCGACTCGGCTACCTCACGTTACCGGGGCCCTGGCTCTGGGCGTGGCTTCTGCTCATACTTTGTGGTGCGGTGGTGGTGCGTCGGGCCGCGCGCTCTGACTTCGGCCAAGAAAAATGCGTCAGCTGATCATTGTCATTTCTGCCACTTGCGTGTGGTGAAATGGGGTCATAACTTAAGAGACGGCTTTTTCATATCAATTATTTTACATAAAATCATATTTCAAACCATAAATAATGTTCGACAGCCAAATAAAAGAAACAATACCAATACAGGCTTACAGTTTAAGGCTCGACATTGTGTTGTCTACGATTAGACAGCTGATAACTCATTCCCGTACGTCGTAACTCTATAATGACCTTTGCTTATTGTCACATGTGCGCCGCATTCGCGATTGTTGCCGACGCCTGTTTGCAGGTCAGCCCACTACAGTTGTTATACATATAGAAAAACCGATAAACTTTTAGGCGAAAAAGGCACTATTCCAGGCCCATTTTTGATTTTCTTTGCGATATTAGGTAAAAACAGAAGCTTCTTATTCTAGGAAAAATAAAATGGGAAATCTTTCAAAGGTGGCACACTACCTTTAATATTTACTGTAGAAACGCGTACTGATGAAGTCAGAGAACGGGAAACTGCTGCACCTTTCCTGTGAATTCCTTGGGTTGTCCCTGTATGAGTACACCCTCATGCGTATGACCTGACCGTTGGCCCGATGACCCGGTGGCAGGTCACGGACCTGGCGGCCCGCTACATGAACTACAAGCAGCGCGAGGGCTTCGTCATCTACTCGCCCGTGCTGACGTTCCATAACGGCATCTTCGAGTGTCGCGCCAGCAGGGACGGCGCCAGGGACAAGATGCAGATCTTCGTCCACTTCAACCGTGAGTGCCCCGACAGAGACGCGCGGGGCGGGCGCCACTGTGTGGGCTGGTCGTATGTGCTGTGAGCCGTGTGTCAGGTGCCTGCTATCCTGAACCTCCCATTTCGGGTAGATTCAGGCGATCGTGTATCCTACTTATACACGCTATCACCCTGGGTGGGCTACAGTCCTTTTTACCGACATATAATTTTGAGCTGTACCAGACCAGTATGTCCCTGTGTGTACTAATGTGTGACCCGGTGTGTATGTATTTGCACATAAGTAACCCGATGTGCGCGCCGCAGCCGCGTCGGACACGGTGCAGCAGCCGTGGATAAACGCTGAGGGCGCGCAGCACGCCTACCTGGGCGGCAACTTCACCCTCGAGTGTCGCGTCCACCACATGGCCGGCATCTTCCACACGCTGACCTGGAGCGTGCCCGGCACCAGCACCGGGCTCAAGGTGAGGCGGGACTCCAGCACCGGACTCAAGGTGAGGCGGGACTCCAGCACCGGACTAAGGTGAGGCGGGAGTCCGGCCGGACCCGGCACCAGCACCGGACTCAGGGTGAGGCGGGACTCCGGACCCGGCACCAGCACCGGACACAAGGTGAGGCGGGACTCCGGCACCGGACTCAAGGGGAGGCGGGAGTCTGGGCCAGGCACCGGCACCGGACACAAGGTGAGGCGGGACTCCGGCACCGGACTCGAGGTAATATGGGACATGTAAGTACGGCACCGTACTCAAGGTTGAAAGTACCAGGTTGAGGTAAAGTACTCAAGGTTGAAAGCTGAAATTAAGATGGAACTGTGACAGTTTCAGGGTAAGCTGGTGGAAGTCCGTGCCCAGCACTGGACTCAAGCAAAGGGTGGGGCCGTGTCCTCCAGCAATACAAGGCGCTTGCCTTGATCCAACCCAAAGCTTCTGTCAAACTTGCTACTCATTGTTACCTGATAATCTTGGCGCGCTGACAGATAACAGCCTGCCCTTATCTATTAACAACTCACAGTGTATGTGCATATAGACAGATACTTCAACCACTCGGTGTGTGTACCGCACCTATGTGATCTACCTGGCGCCGGCCTGAATCTGTGAGCCCTGTCACGCTCCTCCCCTCTATGACCCCCGCCTGTGACCCGTCTGTGACCCTCCCTGTGTCTGTGACCCCCTGTGACCCGTCTGTGACCCTCCTCTGTCTGTGACCCTCCCTCTGTCTGTGACCCTCCCTCTGTCTGTGACCCTCCCTCTGTCTGTGACCCTCCCTCTGTGACCCCTGTGACCCGTCTGTGGCCCCCTGTGACCCGTCTGTGGCCCCCTGTGACCCGTCTGTGACCCTCCCTCTGTCTGTGACCCCCTGTGACCCGTCTGTGACCCTCCCTCTGTGACCCGCCTGTGACCCGTCTGTGACCCTCCCTCTGTCTGTGACCCTCCCTCTGTCTGTGACCCTCCCTCTGTGACCCCCTGTGACCCGTCTGTGACCCTCCCTGCCCTCAGACGGGCCGTATCGTCCAGCTGGAGCAGCAGGTGGAGCAGAACTCTGTGGTGCCGGGCGGCCAGGACCCGACCGCGGCCTCGCACGACCTGCGCCGCCTGCTGGTCACCGACACACGGGTCGAGGACGAGGGCTACTACACGTGCCACGTGCGCGACCAGAACGGACACGAGAACTCGCGCCAGGAGTTCGTGCCCATCCAGGGTGAGCACTGAGCGCCCGGCCGCGCCGCCGCGGGGAGGGCGCAGCGGGGTGTGGGCAGCCACAGCGGTGTAACTATAGACTGGGGCTGCAGTCGTGCTTCCAATATATCGCCCGGCGTTGACATGCCTTGGTACCTCGCCGCTGCGTGCCCATGTGCCTCCGCTGCCGTCCTGCGCTGCTCACGCGTTGTGCCCCGGTCCTTTCAGATCGGACCGGCGCCAGCGTGCAGCTGCAGACGGACACCACCAAGTTCGTCACCAGGACCGGCGAGCTGTTGAAGATCGTGGTGTCGATCAGCGCTAGCCCACTGCCAGAGGTCATCTGGTACGACCCCGAGGGAGAGGAGATCGTCAACCAGGGTAAGGCTCGTCAATTTGCAAATCCCTGTGGAGGAAAACGTGACTTGAAAAGAGCCCCAGGTAGATTTTCGTTGGAAAGCAGTAACTTTTGACGAGGTAGTCGCAGTAGCTGTAAGTAAACTGTAACGAAGTAAGTTATCAGTTAGGTGATGGGTTAATACGATTATGAACGGGAAAGGCAACTGAGCTGCGAATGTTAGATCTCGTGCACGGTGCATACTCGTCAATATGGACGATACATGTTGGATCGTTTCAGCCTTTTATGTGGCAGCATTGCTGTATGTGTCTGACCCTCTGTCTGTCAGTGTGTCAGTGTGTTTGTTTGTCAGTGGTCTGACCCTCTGTCTGTCAGTGTGTCAGTGTGTCTGTTTGTCAGTGGTCTGACCGTCTGTCTGTCGCTCTGTGGCAGCTCTGAAGTACTCTGTGTTGGTGCGGACCGATGACCCTCTGTCTGTCAGTGTGTCTGTTGGTCAGTGGTCTGACCCTCTGTCTGTCATTGTGTCAGTGTGTCTGTTTGTCAGTGGTCTGACCGTCTGACCGTCTCTCTGTGGCAGCTCTGAAGTCTCTGTTGTGGTGCGGCCCGATGACCCTCTGTCTGTCAGTGTGTCTGTTTGTCAGTGGTCTGACCCTCTGTCTGTCATTGTGTCAGTGTGTCTGTTTGTCAGTGGTCTGACCGTCTGACCGTCTCTCTGTGGCAGCTCTGAAGTCTCTGTTGTGGTGCGGCCCGATGACCCTCTGTCTGTCAGTGTGTCTGTTTGTCAGTGGTCTGACCCTCTGTCTGTCAGTGTGTCAGTGTGTCTGTTGGTCAGTGGCCTGACCGTCTGTCTGTCGCTCTGTGGCAGCTCTGAAGTACTCTGTGGTGGTGCGGCCCGATGACACGATCCTGCAGATCTTCGACCTCTCCCTGGAGGACATGGGAGAGTACCGAGTGGTGGCCACCAGTCCCGACGGAAACGCCACCGACTCGCTGGTGTTCGACGTCACCGTGCAAGGTCAGTGACCGGTCACCGGCCGGGCGGCGCTGGAGGTCGACTAGCAGCGGGCTCAAGGAATCCCTCCGGTCTCTGAGATGTTTGTTGTGTGACTTATTGAGTTCATTGTGGTGTATAAGCATCAATCGTGTTATTTGTGACAGAGGTCATGAAGTCCCCATCTCTTGCTCTGACGTGCGGGTCCTCATATCCTATCCTGACCTGCTTCCACGTGGCCCTGACCTTACTCTGATCTGCGTTGGCCCACTGCGACGCGCCCTGCCACTACCCTCAACTGACTGGCCTGCCGTGCTCCCACCCTGACCTTGCTGTGCCCTGTCCCAAGTGGCGCTGCCGCTGTCACTGTCGGCCTTATCCTGCCCTGCCCTGACGCACACTAACCTGTTGTTCTCTGCCCCCAGCGGCGCCGTCGGTCAGTGTCGGCTCGAACCAGCTGTTCTTCCCGGTCGGCGAGGAGGTGTCGTTACTGTGCTCGGCCACCGGCTGGCCGGCGCCCGTCGTCGGCTGGGAATTTGCCGCCTGCGCCACCCGGCACCAGTGCCAGGTCGTCCAGGACTTTGACGACGTCAGGGTACGTCCGTGAACATACATGAGGAGTGGTGGCGAGAGAGCCAAAGACGCTACACAGGGGCGCTGCCGTGGGGGGGGGGGGGTGCTGTTCGGTGACTCCCTATAGCTTTGGCCGCTGTCCGGGGCTGACGACTAGTGTTGCCGACTGTTGTGTCACTGTAACTGCTGTGTCGTTGTGACCACGTCCCGCTGTGCTCCTACAGTACATCCAGACCAACGAGGAGCGGGAGAACCACAGCACCTCGCCGCAGCACAAGTGGCGCATCAAGAGCACGCTCTCACTCAAAGCCAAACAGTCGGGCATCTACCGGTGCCACGCCACCAACAAGTTCCCCACGTCGGCTGATGCGGACGCGCCATTCTTTGTCTCAGGTAAGCCACCGGACCAAAGCGAGGGCAGCCCGAACCCGAGTGAGGACCACTCGAATCAAAGTAAGGACCCAGAGAACCGATCGCCTGAGCACAGCTGCACATCGCCCTGTGCCGGTGGCCCTGCACGGTCGGTCGCGGCCGTCCGACCCTGACCGCTCTGCTGTCCCCCGCGGCCCGCACCCTGACCTCCCGCTCGGCTGTGTGCGGCAGACGTGGCGGGCGGGTTCGGCGTCCTGCCGAGCGCCTCTCAGCGTCAGGTGGTGGTCGGCGACAACGTCAACATCACCTGCGCCGGCAGCCGGTTCGCCTTCGACGGCCTGGAGACCATCAGCTGGCTGCGCGAGATGGAGGGCGGCCTGCTGCTGCCCGTCACAGACGCAAAAGGTCGGTGGACGGTAGGAAGGACAGACAGACAGGGGACGGACTGTGGAGTGACAGCCACGGTCAGTAGACGGACAGAGACCGATGGTCAGTGGACAGGGAACGGACAGAGAACGGACTGGAGGCGGACTGGGACGGACAGAGACCGATGGTCAGTGGACCGACAGGGACGGGCTGGGGCAGTGACAGGGGTGACATTTACCAACAGTCGTCTTATTTCACACGACCCTGGTGTAACCGCTGATGAACCGCTATCAGCTGTGTAACTGGTGCGCTGCGCCCGTTTCTGTTCTTGTGAGTAGGTATCCGTGTAGCGGTCGACCAGACGATGTATTCCTACCAGAAGACCCTGGTGCTCACCGACATCCAGGCAGACAAGTCGGGCCGCTACGTCTGCTCCGGCACCAACGTCTCGGGCGGCAAGAACACCACCGACAGACTGGTGACCGTCAAAGGTGGGTGTATTGATCGGCTGGTGACCGTCAAAGGTGGGTCCACCGGTTGGTGACTGTCAAAGGTGGTCTTTCTATGTCAATGGCGAGTCCACGCTCCACCGTCCGGCCTTACCGACCGTCATATTGTCATGTGAAGCATTTCTGTCCCTGATGTGGTCCCGCTGCTGTCGTCTACTGACCTGTCCTTTGGACTATCTTCTGCAGCGAGCGCCAGTCCGCGGTTCCTGTCCGACTCGAACATGGACAAGTCAGCGACTCTGACGTTCGAGGAGGGGACGCGGGGAGAGCTGAACTGCACCGTCTCCGGTCTGCCGCCGCCCACAGTCGTCTGGAGCAAGGTGAGACCGCGGGACCAGCGGGACCAACGGGACCGCAGACTGCGGACCAGCGGGACCACATACCGCGGACCAGCAACCCCAGAAAGAGCGGAACCAGCGAGTTGTGGGATCAGGGGAAGACACGATATAAGAACTGAGGACTGTTGAGCCGAGTTAACGTGACCGGGTCTCTTCGCGCTCTCCTCATATCCGAGCGATCTGCCTATCCTTTCTAAGCAGCAGCTGAGCGGTCAATCTCTCCCAGAATGTTGTTACATGACGTGATCGCCCCGCAGGACGGCGAGCGTCTGCCGGTGGCTGAGGCCGGCCGGGTGCGCGTCAGCGAGGACGGCCAGCGGCTGCTGATCACGGCCGCCATCTCGGACGACGCCGGCACCTACCAGTGCCGGGCACAGAACCGGGTGGGCGCCGTGACCGGGTCAGCCACCGTCGACGTGCCCGGCGGCGGCGCCAACGTCGGACTGATCGCCGGCATCACCGGCTTCATGCTGCTGCTGCTCATCGCGCTGGCCGCCTGCCTCGTCTGGAAGACCAAACAGCAGAAGGTCAGCGGCCGATCTCTGCTCGGGGCATCGCTGGTGTGTGTGTTTCGGGTGAAGGACGGCTGGTTTCTGAGCTCGCTATGTGCAGAGTATGTATGACTATGTGTATTATCAGAAGCTTCCGTGGCGGTTACACAGACTAATCATATACACAGGTTATCATAAACCGCAGTTAGTATAAACCTCTAGCGTTGACCTTGTATAGGTACCGGTGCGCTGACCCTGAGGCTGACCGTGTTTCCGCGGGCGACAGAACCTGCAGCAGCGGCTGACCAAGACGGAGCTGGAGGCCTTCACCAACGGGCGGATGGCTCAGTTCAACCCGAACATGCCGATCGACGAGCAGGCCGAGCTGCTGCCCTACGACGCCGAGTGGGAGTTCCCCAAGGAGAAACTCATCCTAGGTGAGTTCGAGCGCCGCGCAGTTCGGCCCGGGACGCTGCACAATCAGGGCACACCCCGTGTGAGTGTACCGGCCCAACTTTCCTACCGGCTTGTTTTCCTTCCCAGGTGCGTTTTGCTCCCATTGGAATGAGCTGCATGCTGTCGAGGTGTATGTGTTTTCATCTGAGGAAACTTCCTCTGCCCAGTGTCTGCCTCTGAGAACGACACACGCGCCGTATCGTACGATCTTTTGCGATCTTGTTCTCTCGTTTTGTCCTGTTCCTTGTTCCGTTCTGTCGGACTGATCTATGTTTACCTGATAATGTCCTGCCGTCTTCTGTCTTGACATTTGACGGTTTTCTGTCCTGACTCCTGACCCGGTAGTACCAGCGCACAGGTCGTCAGATTGGCTCGGGCCGGCCTCTGACGATTCCCCGACCTGACCCACCCGTCCGCGGCCCGCCGCAGGGCGCCAGATCGGCTCGGGCGCGTTCGGCCGGGTGGTGAAGGCGGAGGCGATCGGCCTGACGCCCGGCGAGGAGCGCACCACGGTGGCCGTCAAAATGCCAAAGTCCGGCTCGGACCCCAACCAGATCCGCTCCATGATGGCCGAGCTGAAGATCATGATCCAGCTGGGGAAGCACCTGAACGTGGTGAACCTGCTCGGAGCCGTCACCAAACACGCCGTGGACGGTAGGGCCGAGAGAGGGTCGTTTTCCGGGGTCCGGGGCGGCCTGTCGCCGTCATAAAATAATTACGGCTGGTTTGACAGTCCAACAGATATGAAATCATTCAGAGACTGCCAACAACTTGAAACAGGGAGATGCTAATGCTTCGTTATTGTCGTTTGCCGTATGTACAATTGTTCAGCGTTATGACAAGGTCTGATTTGTGGTGGGTTCGCGCCAAGTCTCGCTGGACTAAGCAGACATTTCTTGATGGGCGCCGTATAACAGGTTAAATGAAAAAAATAAGTGGTAAAATTTACAATACCTTCCTTGTACCGTAAAGTGGGGCTATTTGAGACAGTGGGGCTATTTGAGACAGTAAGGTAGTGGTTTAGTAAAATCGCTGTAAAATGAAAACCGTTTGATGTTTTTTCGTCATTTTTGCTTAGGCTGACGTGGAATTGAACAGTGAATGCTCGGAATAACTTTTTTTGAAAATTTCGAAAAGTTCTGAAAGAAATTTGGCATAAAATACGAAATACAGAAAAACACTTAATTTAAGTTGCTCGAAAAGGACCCCTACCTGCAGCTTAACAGAGTTGAAATTTTGATAGCTTTGCCACTGGATCTATCGTTACTACCGTTTTACTTATAGGCTAACCACATTTATCATGAAAATATTATATATTGTTAGCGGTACTGCCGATTACGTAACCCATTGTCTCAGAATCCCGATGATGCCCACCTGGTCAAACCTCAACGGATATGCCAAATAGCTGATGATAATGGTGATGCGATGCACCCGAGAAGACCTACCGCCATCTACCTGAGTGCATCGAACGTTCGACATAAGCAGCGCCGGTGAATCGGTCATGGTCATAAACGTGCAGTGGGTTCATAGTAGGTACTTTTAGCAGCAAGCAATATTTACATGTTCGTTTTATAACATAATGACCCTTTAGCTGGTGACCAAACTAGTTATTCTGATGAATATGTGCTTAAAATGTGTTTCATCAGTCACTGACTCAGTCGACAATCAACATATGTCTACATAGGTTGACCAAAAAAACACCATTGAAGGCTACTTAACACATGAACGTACTGTTAGATGAGCCTATCCAAGTACTTGATGTGGTAGGGTAACCGGCCAATTGATGCAGCACGCAGCGATCGAGGAAAATCGGCATAAAATCAAAACCGTTTAACATTTTTTTTTGTTGTTTCTTCGCATGGAGATGTACAATGGAACAAGCAATCATGCAGACCATTCACTTAAATGTTTTTGGGAAACCCGGGAAACCCTTTGCCTTGTTTCATTCATTACGGTGTGCTTCATAAGCTAGCAAGCCTGTCTCAAATAGCCCCACCGGCTTTCGGTATAACTGTTTTCACGTCACCAGGGCTATACACAAAAACTTACTTTCAAAATTTTACTGTCGTTGACTTTAAAATAGTCCTTGATGATGATCCTGTCATTTTGAAAGTTTAGGGTCACATCATATTATGATAACCTTAGCATAAAGTGATGCAATTTTATACCCTATCGAAATGAAGTGCTCTACGAAAAAGGGAAAGATTGAATATAAAGGACATGTAACAGTCTTTGCAAAAACAATTTTTGCCAAAATGATCAAAATTTAATTTCCAATTGTATGGCGTTTAAAAAATTATCTCTAGCGTGACCGATTTTCTTCAATTTCTTTCCAACTAAAACTGTCTCAAATAGCCCCACCCTATGGGGCTATTTGAGACAGGCTTTAATTAAACAAATAGCCTTAGTCATTATCACCAGCTGAACCAAAATGCACCTATATGAAAGAGTTCACAGAGAACTACATTTTTGCACTTTACATGCTATAAGAAATATGAACCGTTTTGAAGAGAGAGGCCAAAGACTGTAAAATCCGTTTCAAATAGCCCCACTTTACGGTATATGTGTATTTTCAGGCGAGTTTATGGTGATGGTCGAGTATTGCCGACATGGTAACCTGCACCAGTACCTGCAGCGGCACAAGACCTGCTTCATCGACCAGGTGGACCCGATTACCGGTGAGCCGTCCTGAAACGGAAACTCGGCCGCCGTCCTGAAACCGTCCTGTGGCGGGGGGGGGGGGAGGGGGGCATTATAGTAGCGGGACAATGACGCAGTCCCCAGTCAGTGACTGGTGTGCGGTCGGTATTATGGCTGACTCAGTTCCCATATTTGTATTGACGGAAGCAGACAACTCAGCAATACACCGTGGCTATTATGTGTTCTTAAGTCATAGCGAGTAAAAACTTACCGTCAGGGTTAAATGGGGATAAAAAAGAATGTACTGTCAGAAATCGCACACGCACACGCCGAACACTCCGAATACAACCACACCACGGTCAGTCTGCGGTGGGAGGCGGTGCCGCGACTGACGCGCTCCTTCTGACACCTCCCCAGGGGAGTACGACGCCAGTCTCGGAGAGGAGGAGTACGAGGCCGCCATGGCCGGCGGCGCCGTCAGTGAAAAGTGAGTCGCCATACCGGGCCGTAAGGGTCACCGAGCGCGGGCTGAAGGCATCTCGTGTGTTAACGGTTGTGCGTAAACTTCCTGGCGGCCTCTTTTGTTTTTTTTTATACTTTTTTGTTTGGGATTTTACATTCACTTCTTATTTCGATAGCGATTATTTCAGTACTTTTCCTGGGATCAAAACACTCAGTCAGACCACTTCATTAGCTACTGTGCATGTTGTGCGATGCCTTGGCTTTTATTTGAGCTTTTGCATGTAACCTCTTCACTTAGATTGCCGCTTTTTAGACGCTTCGCATGGCATGAGCAACTGAGCACGTCAACGACAGGTCCTGTGGGCTTTGTTGCTATAACATAAAATGAATTATTTATTACTCCATGATGATAAATAAGCGGCAAAAGGTATAGGTACTTGTGATAGCCTATCAGCGCTGGAAAAAATTAAAAGTTGTCAGACATGTTGAGCATTTTCTCCGCGCAACCTTCTAATGCTTCATCCTTCGTTGCTACTTTATTGGTAACTAAATATTGTTGCACATTTTGATTAAACAGAGGTCTCTAACCGACTAAATTGAATTTGTGTGTATCTAATTGTATGTCTACAACCGTATACTAAATTGTATGTAATGAAATGTACCTCATTGAATTACGGATTTTTACCTTGTGTGACAGCTTCGGTTCTGACAAGGGGGTGGGGGAGGAAGGGGGGGGGGGGGTGAAGTACCTACTTATTATACTGTGTCATGTGAATGAGTTTGCGGTTCTTGTTCCGTTCAGTTTAGCTGCTGGGGCACATGCTCCTTTTCCTCATTTTTATTTGAATGTTCGACCCGGAAACCCAGCAGTGCAACAAATCAATTACCTACATAATGAAGATACAAATTTGATATCCACATGATATGCACCATGCGATGTCTAATAAAAAGATGAAGGAGTGTCAACTAAAAGGCGTATTCGGCTATTCGTAGCAAGATAGTTGCATGCCGATATTTGATGAATTTCTGACAAAAATTATTTCTGAAGTAGGTATGCATACCCTCGCGAACGTTTCCGGGATTTCGTATAATAAAACCCCGGTTTCTCGTTCTTTATGAGAATGCACCGTGCACCAGAACTGCTTCACGTAGTAGGTACTTAAAATTGAGGTGAAGTCTGAAACACGTTTGCCAATTGCTAAATGTTTTATGCCAAATGAGACTGTCTTTTACGTCGCGCACATTTTCCAAGCTTAAGTGTAATGCCCAAGGCCAAGCCCTAAATCTTCATAGTGTGTTGGGTACATACCTACACCGTCTTTAACATAAGCAGAGGTCCAGAGCCGAAAGTAAATGTAAGACCGTTGACCTCCTGCTGAAGTAGGTGGTAAATGTATAGGAGTTACCCGGCCCTGTTCTGCGGTAGGACGGCCTCCGCCGCGGCGCGGTCCCCTCACGTCCCAGTTCGTCAGTGCACCGCCTGTGACGACCGGCCAATCGGTCTGTGGCGTCCCCGGCCCGCATGCCCTGTCCATGACCGTGTAAGCCCCGTCCCCGACCCCCGACCCGAGCCCGGCGCGGTGCGGTGTCCAGCTTTGGTGCGTAGTCGGCTCACTAACGCCATCTGTCAGCACGCCGCTTAACCTGGCGGGCGGCGGCGGCGGCGACCTGCGCCGGGCCGGCAACCGGCTCACCCTGGCGTCCTGCGACAGCCTCTACAAGACGCCGCGCTGCAACAGCACCGCCTCCAGCATCCACAGCGCCGGCTACAACACGGACATGACGGCCGTGGACTCGGTCTGCCTCAGCCCCGGCGCCACAGGTCAGTTCCCTCAGTGGATCGCCCGGCGCCACAGGTCAGTTCACAGTGTCCCCCGGCACCACAGGTCAGTTCACAGTGTCACAGGTCAGTCACAGTGTCCCCGGCGCCACAGGTCAGTCACAGTGTCCCCGGCGCCACAGGTCAGTTCACAGTGTCGCCCGTCGCCACAGGTCAGCACTGTGTCACAGTGTCCCCCGGCGCCACAGGTCAGTTCACAGTGTCCCCCGGCGCCACAGGTCAGTCACAGTGTCCCCGACGCCATAGGTCAGTTCACAGTGTCACAGGTCGGTCCCCCGGCGCCACAGGTCAGTTCACAGTGTCACAGTATCCCCCGGAGCCACAGGTCAGTCACAGTGTCACAGGCTGGTCCCCCGGCGCAACAGGTCAGTTCACAGTGTCGCCCGGCGCCACAGGTCAGTTCACAGTGTCCCCGGCGCCACAGGTCAGCCACAGTGTCCCCGGCGCCACAGGTCAGTTCACCCAGCGCTAAATGTGAGTCAGCGCTTCACCGCAGCCCTGACTGACAGCATAGTGTCACAGTTGAAGCCCGGTCTGTCCTGTGACACTGTAGTAGTACCAGTCCTTGTGTCACAGATCGCCAGTGCCAACTCCCCGGCAGTATCAGTGTCGGTTTCACAACTGAGTCGTTCTGACTCTGTCGGTTCTACCTTCCCGGATTCCAATAGAAATCCTGGTAGTTCCACAGAACGGATCTTTCCTGTAATGTCGGTGTCGGTTTCACAGTCCCGGCGTCCTTCCACTGTCCCGTCCCGTCACGAGACAGGCTCACAGATGGTCAGATTTCACTTCTCATTTCATCGTAGCATCGACCTGAACTTGGTGCCACTGTGCTATCCATAGTATGGCAGGAGGCTCCTTATTGGGATGTTCATTTTGTGCGATGCTCGATAGACTATTTTGCGCGTTGTGTTGTGGTGACCTGTCTGACCCAGCCCTGGCACCCCTGTGTGACCTCTCTGACCTCTGACCTGCGCGCCGGCCGGCAGGTGGTGAGGACAGCCTGGGCGTGCCTCGGCTGAACACGGGCGCCAGTGTGCGGCCCCGTCGTGTGCCCCTCACCACGCGCGACCTGCTGCGCTGGAGCTACCAGGTGGCACGCGGCATGGAGTACCTGGCCTCGCGCAAACTGCTGCACGGAGACCTGGCCGCCCGGAACATCCTGCTCGCAGAGAACAACATCGTCAAAATATCCGACTTCGGACTGTCGCGGGACATCTACAAGACCAGGGACTACCGGAAGAAAGGCAAGGTGGGTCCGCTGGCGGCGCGGCCGGCTGTCGGCACAGTGCAGTGGTGGTTTGGGACCGAAAAGAGCTGATGCCGTTTTATCATTCTTTTAGCGTGTGTACTGAGCCTTGCACGTGATTATCGGTTTAACTCGAGTATGACTCAGAATTTTGATATTTGTATTAGAGTACGTTTTCTGCACACCGTCTGGAATAGCGGACGCTGCCTGGCACAGTCGGCCACTCCTGACTCTAGTGTTGGCGCGGCGGGCGGCCCGGCGGTGAACGCTGTGACCTGTGACCTCTGACCGGGTCAGCGCCGCCACCTGACCTCTGCCCGCTGCCCCCTGCGTCACAGGACCTGCTGCCCTGTGACCTGTGACCTCTAACCGAGTCACCGCCGCCACCTGACCTCTGCCCCCTGCCCGCTGTGTCACAGGGCCTGCTGCCCGTCAAATGGATGGCGATCGAGTCGATCCAGGAGTCCATCTTCTCCACCCAGTCTGACGTCTGGGCGTTCGGCGTCGTCATGTGGGAGTTCTTCTCGCTCGGCGCCTCGCCCTACCCCGGCATGGAGTACGACGTCAACTTCGTCCGGTAGGCGGCGCTCCCTGAGTGACAGGGAAACAAACACTCTTTGCCTGCGGGTTTCAGTCTTATCACAGCCCCTGCATAATAATAATAATGTGCATAAACTAAGTGATATACCAATATCGCGATACGCCAGCCCGCTTACCGTCCGCGCCTTTCTGTGGTGCCCGGTGAGCGTGCTTCCCTCCCCCCCCCCCGCCACCCCTCGCGGCCCACTGACGCCCCCCCCCCCCCCCACCGCCCGGCTGTTTAGGAGGCTGCGGGACGGGTACCGCATGGAGCGGCCCAAGTTCGCGCCCCAGGCCGCCTACAAGCTGATGCTCGAGACGTGGAAGGAGTCTCCGGGCGACCGGCCCAGCTTCACAGAGCTGGCAGAGAAGATCGGACACTCACTGGAGGAGCGCATCAAGGAGGTCAGTGACCCGGCGGCGAGAGGTCAGTGACCCGCCGGTGACGGAAGGGTGGGGGTCAGCGACCCATGGGTCCACCACCCGGGATGAATGACGAATTAAGACAAAATCCAATCGAATGGCTTTCTTCAAACCCACCTCGCAGGCCACTGCCACTCCACACAGCTGACACTGCCTTCCTCGACAGGAGTACATGCTGCTCAACGAGCCGTTCAGGGACCTGAACAGCGACTACTTTGCGCGGCGGACCGACTACGTGAACACACTGGCCAGCCCCGACTATGTGAACGTGACGAGGGAGCAGGAGGCGCCGCCAGGCGATGAGAGGAAGCCGGCCTACGTCAACATGGACCCGCAGCGGCAGACAGCCGCCTACCGGGCCAGCCGGGCGGGTCAGTACTCAGTGGGGAGTCTGGGCTGGCTGGGAGTCAGGGTACCGGGAGGTCAGTGAGCCGGGTCAGCCACTTGGGGGCCAGCCGGGCAGGTCAGCTGTTCCGTCAGGGTCAGGGTAGCTGGGTGTCAGTGGTACCGCGCTAGGTCACGGGTACAGTGGTATCGGGCAGGTTGGTACGCAGTGGGGAGTCAGAATTAAAGGAAGACTGCCACCTTCAAAAAGTTTTCTCAGATCGGCCTATGATTTATTCCCTGGACAAAACAAAATTTTAGAATTCACCTGACAAAGTATCATCACGTGAATCGCGAAAAAATTATCGATTATCATACAATTATCAATCGGTTAATGTCTAGCGACAATGTTTACACATCACTAGACTTCAAGGTCATAAGATTATTACATTTTATTTGAAAAAGTAAGGTATTTTATGATTTACTAATATATGATTTCATAAGAAATTGGCCATGTTTAATTTATTTTGCATTTAACTTCGTAAAACATTTAAAAATCATGGCTCATTTGGAATGGGTCTGGCCCATGTTAAACCCCATTTCCCACACTTTTTTTGGAAAAAAATGAACTACTGAATATATAAGTTTAACTTTTATTTTGACACTCCAAAATTCTTCTCTGATCTCGAAACAATCAAAGTTTTGACATATATTTGCCAAAAGATTAGAAAATTCATGTTACAAAGTTATCGATAAACAGTAGAGATGTCAGTTTTCTTGGACTAAAAAAATGGCATCAAACTGAACTTTGGTCTCCGATTTCTCGCAAACGGGTTCGAATTTCGGAAAACCGACTTCAGTCTGGGACATAGGTGGCTCAGCTCTAGTGAAAACCGTTTTGTGAAAAAATGGTGGCAGTCTACCTTTAAAGGTAGACTGCCACCAAAGGTACCTGGGTGTCTGCTCGTCTATCTCCGTCCCTCCTATTTCTCCCTCCCTCTCTCTTTCCGTCCCCTCTCTCTCTCTCTCTCTCTCTCTCTCTCTCTCTCTCTCTCTCTCTCTCGCATGTGCTTGCTTAGGAACTCTGTCACACGTCCCTTCTCTACCCTAAAAAGACGTATTGTTAAAAGATGTTAGATTGTACACCCGATGTAGGGTAGGGTGGGGTAATTTGAACATGTGGGGCAATTTGAACATAGTGTGAATAACAGAAAATTGCGGAAAATCCATAAGTGCCATGACAATAAGACCAATGAGAGAAATTATCGTAACTAAAAGGGCTATCATATGAACGGGGTTTAAAGTTTCAGGGAATGAAGATGTTGACGTACAGTGTAAAAAATCCATTTCGCAAGGAAAAACGCCTAACAACACGTCATTGCAACTTCATTGCAGCGCAAAATCTTGCTTTGCTAGCGCCTAATACGCAACGGCTTTTGTTGTATAATGACCTAATCAGTGCCGTAAATCCAAGAAATTTGCTTTTGAACCCTGTTTTTTAAAATGGCAAAATAACTTTTAGCGTGGGGTAATTTGAACATAGTGTGAGAATTTGAATGAAAACAGGGATAGCTCCGAAACAACAACGCTCCCAGTTTTTTTTTTGCCAATATTTTCGACCCAAGGCAGTAGCAGATAAGTGATGCCAGTTTTAGAAAATTTACGTCTAATATCCGTCTAATGTCCGGCATTTTTGTTGATTTTCCGTCCAAAAATGTTTAAGTCAACTATTTGTCCAAATATATCCAAAAATTATGCAGCTATCAACACTCAAAACCGTCATTTATATCGCTTATCATGTAATTTTACCAGCCGAAAAGTGTTCATTATATTGAGAGCTTAACAAGCTTTCCATTCGCCAATCAATGCTATGCACGATTACTTTATAAAAAGCGCTGAAGTGTAGCAAGCCATCGTCCAATGTTGTCCAGTCTGCTACCTTTGTCCAACCAATTCCGAATTGGACATTGGACAAAATCAGAACTCCAAATGTCCAGGTTTCGATTGGCACCACTTTAACAGATGTAGTACGGTTGGGAGAGTTTTTATCGAACAAAAATGATAGACGTTCTGTTAATTGAAGAGGGGCGAATTCTGTCAACTGACCGGTGTGCAGCGTGCAGATATTGATACTCTGCAACTGTTATTTTTGCTGTTGTGTTGATTTTTCAAGTGAAGGTATGTTTAGAATTGTTCTGCCTATTTGTTTATGGGTCAAACAACATCGGTGCTGGCAAGACTATCGTTTTTATGACAGGTAAAGGCAGCATGTTCAAATTACCCCACGGTGGGGCAATTTGAACACACCGTGACTTGGTGGAGAAGTGAGGCTATGCTATTCAAGGTATGCTCGGCTCGTCCAAAAATGAGGCTTGCATGGTGAAAGCAAGTGACACTTGCGCTACTGAAGCATTTTTTCTTCATCCAGGGTTGAACTGGAATTTGGTACAACGGAGAAGACGTAAAAATATGTTCAAATTACCCCACACTACCCTATCTCTTTCAGCGATGATTGAATCAGAAACGCTCAGGCTCCCGGACTCCCGCGCCAGGCATGTCTGTGTATATGCGTGTCTGGTGTGCTGTCCTGGTTGTCTGTGAGCCTGACGTACTGTGAGTGTGGTCCTGGTTATCTGTGAGACTTTGCTGCAACCCTGAGTCTGTCTCTGTGAGTCTGACGCCGCTGCGATACTGTGAGTCTGTGAGTCTGACGCTGCTGCTATCCTGTGAGTCTGTGAGTCTGACGTTGCTGCTATCCTGTGGGTCTGAGATAGCGGTATCAGCATGTGAGGCTGACGCCGCTGCGATCTTGTGAGCCTGTAAGTCTGAAGTGTCTGACGTTCACTGCGCTGTTGTGCGCGCGCAGAGGAGCCGGCCGGCGGCGCCCAGGCCGGCCCGGACGGCTACCTCATGATGACGCCGACCGTGGAGGGCGGCCCCGAGGGCGGCCGCATCTTCTCCCCCCGGCCCACGGCCGTCGTCAAGCCGTTCGACTTTCCGCACAGCGGCGGCGCCAACCACTTCTACAACCCGTCCTACGACAAGCCGGCCAAGGCGGGCTCGCGGCCGACCTCTGCCACGGCGGCGCCGCCTAGGGAGGACGAGGACCACTACCTCAGCCCGCGGCTACCGGAGGACGAGGACCACTACCTCAGCCCGCGGCTGCCCGAGGACCAGGACCACTACCTGGTGCCGAAGAACTTTGACGAGGGCGGCAGTCCCGTGTGAGGTGGCAGACGCGGCAGTGAGCGGTGGTGAAGTCAAACATTCCAGTCGAGATCTCGGCAACTGGCGACTGCTGTGAATTGTGATTGCCGGTGGACAGTGTCCACTGCCAGGCGCCACGGTTTTGGGTGATATCACTCGGATAAAGACAATACTTGGATGATGTGGAAAGTGTTAAATGATCAGCGCTTCTCCGCGTGTATGTGTGCGCTTGCAGGTATTTGCGTATGAGTTTTCCATGCTACAATGTGCCTATCCATGTGCCTTTTTGCGTTATTTTGTTCTGTAGGTATGTCATATTGTTTCTGTATTTCGTGTTGCATATTTTTTAATTGTAGGTATGTAATTCCGGCGTCTGAAGCTAGCTTTGAGGAACACGCCGCAAATTACTGTGTACGACATGTGATCATTCACGTTCTATGGAGATTGGGAACGTTGTTGTTGTCAATGTTCGATTTGGCGTGTCCGTCACTCGTTGAGATACTAGATGATGCAGCTCCCCCGCTCCGTGGAACGGAGCTCGCTAGACAGAGCGTCTCAAGGGGTGTCTCTCTCATAGCGCCTCGCGCTGCGCGGAACGGATCCGCCGAACGACGGAGCGTCTCACGCGACGGGAGCGGAGCCGGCGGGGCGGAGCGGAGCCGGCGGGACTGGGACGGAGCGGAGCCCGCGGGACGGAGCGCCTCGAGAAGTGTCTCTCACAGCGTCTCTCAGAGTCACCAGTGGATGGGGTCGGCAGTGTCACCAGCATTGTTCAACTACATAGGTAGTTCAACAAGTTTCCGTGAGGACAGCATGATTTATTCGATGTGCATGATAAAACACATTGCAAATATGAGATTTGCATCAAATATTTATTGCTTTGTAAACACTTGATGATTTTATTTCCACATTCCACAATGACCAGTGTCAGCGTATTATGTAGATGCATTGTATCATCGCCGACCAGTGAGTATTTATTGATTAGCGATTGAAAATGTTTTATATATTGTGCCATTTTATTGATTGTTTTATCAATTGCTCGTACATCATGTCATATGTGGCTTCCAATAAAAGTGCATCTCTTGCGTCACATTTTTGCAGCTTGGTTAGGTCAGAGGCTGGGTCACCAGGGCCTCGTTTCACTTAAAGCGAGTCAGTAACGTACGCCGGTTTTTGGGCATGTATTGCAAGCGCATGTGAAGGGACAAATTTATTTCCCCTTCTCCCTTCTGTTCTTGCTTGCAAGATAAATAAATTCAACGATTCAAACTATCGTCATCGCTTCACATGCACTTGCAATACAAGACCAAAAACCGGCGTCAGTTACGGACTCGCTTTATGAAACGAGGCCCAGGTTGCGTCAAATCATTCCTGCCCGTGATTCCTGAAATTTTTAATTCCTTCCCCTGCTGGTAACTTCTTCAAATTTTGCATGTAGGGCACAAGCACGAGTAAACAAAAGTTACCTTTCAAAAGTATATTTATTTCAAAGACTGATGATCGCGTTACAAGTAAAAGCAGCCAGCTGTTATCGACCGTCGTATACCTACCTATAGTTGTTTTCTCATTGTTATTCGCAAAGACCTATTCGTTAAACTGTGAACGATACTGGGAAAGTAGGTAGGTCCATACACAGCCATTCAATGTATGTTAACATGCACTCAAGTCCATCGGGCGTTTTTTTTTTTTTAGCGCCCGAATGTTTTTTTGAAGCTGATTCCGACGCCGTGATCTTTTCTGAAGTCCGAGCTGGCTCCCACGCCGACGCTGGCCGAGCCGTCGCGGGAGGTCCACACCCTGCGGCCGATCGCCGGCGGATTCAGGCCGCCACCGACGCCGTACTTGTTGTTGAGCGAGCCCGACGCCGCGTCCATGGCTGCCCGCCCCTTGTTGCCGCCGCCGCCGCCCTTACAGCCTCTGGCGACGGCGGCCAGTCCGAGGAGGGCCACCATCAGCAGCAGCGACAGCGGGAGCAGGCCGCGAGACATGGCGACCGAGGGAGCCGCGACGGCCGGCGGCACGGACTGTCGGCGGGGGAGGGGGCTCACTGTAACACGGGGCTGTCGGTGGAGGAGGGAGCTCACTGTAACAGGGGGCTGTCGGCGGGGGAGGGAGCTCACTGTAACACGGGACTGTCGGCGGGACGGACTGTCACTGTAACACGGGGCTGTCGGTGGGGGAGGGAGCTCACTGTAACACGGGACTGTCGGCGGGACGGACTGTCACTGTAACACGGGGCTGTCGGTGGGAGAGGGAGCTCACTGTAACACGGGACTGTCGGCGGGACGGACTGTCACTGTAACACGGGGCTGTCGGTGGGGGAGGGAGCTCACTGTAACACGGGACTGTCGGCGGGACGGACTGCCACTGTAACACGGGACTGTCGGTGGGGGAGGGAGCTCACTGTAACACGGGACTGTCGGCGGGACGGACTGTCACTGTAACACGGGGCTGTCGGGCTGTCGGTGGGGGAGGGAGCTCACTGTAACACGGGACTGTCGGCGGGGGAGGGAGCTCACGGTAACACGGGACTGTCGGTGGGGAGGGAGCTCACTGTAACACGGGGCTGTCAGTGGGGGAGGGAGCTCACGGTAACACGGGACTGCCGGCGGGAGGGAACTCACTGTAACACGGGACTGTCGGCGGGACGGACTGTCACTGTAACACGGGGCTGTCGGGCTGTCGGTGGGGGAGGGAGCTCACTGTAACACGGGACTGTCGGCGGGGGGAGGGAACTCACTGTAACACGGGACTGTTGGTGGGAGGGACTCACTGTAACGCGGGACTGTCGGTGGGGGAGGGAGCTCACTGTAACACGAGACTGTCGGTGGGAGGGACTCACTGTAACACGGGACTGTCGGCGGGACGGCACTGTCACTGTAACACGGGACTGTCGGTGGGGGAGGGAGCTCACTGTAACACGGGACTGTCGGCGGGACGGACTGTCACTGTAACACGGGGCTGTCGGTGGGGGAGGGAGCTCACTGTAACACGGGGCTGTCGGTGGGACGGACTGTCACTGTAACACGGGACTGTCGGCGGGGGGAGGGAACTCGCTGTAACGCGGGGGTGTCGGTGGGAGGGACTCACTAGGTAACACGGGACTGTCGGTGGGACGGTACTGTCACTGTAACACTGGACTGCCACTGTAGCACCGGACTGTCGTGTCGGTGGGGCAGCACTGTCACTGTAGCACGGGACTGTCGGCGGGAGGGGCGTCACTGTAACACGGGGCTGTCATTGTAACACGGGACTGTCACTGTAACACGGGACTGTCACTGTAACACGGTACTGTCACTGTAACACGGGACTGCCACTGTAACACGGGACTGTCGGTGGGAGGGACTCACTGTAACACGGGACTGTCACTGTAGCATGGGACTGTTACTGTAGCACGGGACTGTCAGCGGGAGGGACGTCACTGTTACATCGGACTGTCGGTGGAAATGCTAAAAAGTGCATGTCGCATGATGATACCGGTGTTGACAAACACGTACATACCTACCTATTCGAGTTGGCAAGCCTAAAATAATGCCAATATACAGTAGGGTTGTTCAAAAAAAACGAATTTTGGAAAAGTATACGGGCTCATGGCTCGTGTGGTGAGGTATTCTTTTCTGAGTCCAACGATGCCCTTTTTTCCGAAAAATATCAACTGCTTCATGCTCCCCAAATGGCTTGAAGAGGACCTTGTTACGCCCGGCGACCGGCCGGTGTCAATAAGGGCGAGAATTCGCCGCCGCGCGGGGGCGGAAGCGCCTTATTGACACCGCGCGCCACGACATCTACCGGGCGGCCGGCCGGACGGTGGGAGGGAATTAAAGGAAACAGTCCACTTTCCTGAAATCAGTATTTTGCTATTGATTTATGATTTTTTATGCTCAAAATAATCATGAAATAAAATAAAACCTTTTTGTAAAAACAATTATTTTCTTTATTTTAATATAGGGCGAACTATATTCTATGTAAAATAATGTTTGACGCGGAAGCTTATTACGCATTCACCAATCATATTGCGTAGCTCAAACCTATGAATACTGCATTGGCTGTAAGCAGCACGCTGATTGGCTGACGATGACGTGGCTGCATTCCTGTGCAAGGCACGCATTCCTCTACAAGGCACTCTTTTCGGAACGAGAAATGGAATTTCTTCGTCTAGGGTGATCGTTGAGCCGTAAAAGCTCCTGATTTGTGCTAGTCTCAGCTCAAGCTACGAAACTGCTATTCCAGCTCAAAACCCCATGTTAAAAGTGAACTATTTCCTTTAATGGGTGGTCTTCTTTCACATGATCGGGGTGCACTAGCCCATATTGTCGGAGCGGAAAGGTTCAGTGCAGCATCGGTGCCTCTGCTGTGGTGTTCTGTGTCGTTTGTTAAAAAAATAAGCCAAACAGAGCTAAGGAAAGACTCAACGCTTCTGGTTTATTCACTCGAAACATCCCGTTTACAGAAAACAGCTGCCTACTTAACGTACCATATCGCTTTGTTTATTAGTCAAGCTGCAAACTCGGAGCAATAACAGTTCTTTGCACTGCTGTTGACAACGTACATTGCATTTGGAAGGTGCATCGCAGCCCAAATATGCTGCTGCGCAACTGATGTGAAAATTTATGAAGGACAGCAGGAGCTGGCAGGGTGCAAGGACAGAATATGGAGACCCCCACAGTCATTGGCCCAAGTTTTTGGGCATGGCTCTGACCAGCATCGGCGTCACTAATGTCATTATGCAGATTCGTTGAAGTAAAATGCTGAAGCAACAGGATTGAGGTTTGTTTTACTTAGATTAGCAGTTCGACAGAAAAGATAACATGCCTGGGAATGACAGGGCGGCCGCCCTGACAGTGTGGCGAAGTGAGAAGTGAGTAGAGACAATAGCGGGAGTACACACATAAATAAATTGCGTCGCTCAATCCAGCAGCGGCACCGGCAGCCCGGCCGTGCCGACCGATGTCGTTCAAGACCCGAATCCAGAGCCGGCATAGAGCACGGCTCTGCCCTGGCGTGACACATTTCCCCGACCCGCCGGCGTGCCATGACGGACCGACCAATGCACGACCTCTCCCTGTATAAAGACGACAATATATACAGCATGCATTACCTATCAGCGTCTAGTTCGACTTCGTATTCAGACCCGGCAAAGAGAGCACGGGTCTGCCCTGTTTCCGCGGCTTTTAATGGCTACATTGATACGAGACATCTCCAATCGTCTGTTTTACCTATAGCAAAACCAGGTTGGTGTGTTGCGATTAGCACGATACATTTATTGCGTAGATATATCTGTTAAATGCATAATTAATTAGAAATAGGAAAAGTAAACATTGCCATCGTCATTCGCCAAACAGGCGGGGTCAAGCATTAGTCTGTCCGTCATGACACACCGGGAAATCGTCAGGGCAGAGCCGTGCTCTATGCCGGCTCTGGATTCGGGTCTTGGACGACATCGGTGGGCACGGCCGGGCTGCCGGTGCCTCTGCTGGATTGAGCGACGCAATCGATTTATATGTGTACCCCCGCTATTGTCTCTACTCACTTCTCACTTCCCCACACTGTCAGGGCAGCCACCCTGTCATTCCCAGACATGTTATCTTTTCTTTCGAACTGCTAATCTAAGTAAAACAAGCCTCAATCCTGTTGCTTCAGCATTTTACTTCAACGAATCTGCATAATGACATTGGTGACGCCGATACTGGTCAGAGCCATGCCCCAAAACTTGGGCCAATGACTGTGGGGGTCTCCTAATCCTTATTCTGTCCTTGCACCCTGCCAGCTCCTGCTGTCCTTCATAAATTTTCGCATACAGTTGCGCAGCAGCATATTTGGGCTGCGAGGCACCGTCCAAATGCAATGTACGCTGTCAACAGCAGTGCAAAGACTGTGTTATTGTTCCGAGTTTGCAGCTGACGAATAAACAAAGCGATACCTATGGTACATTAAGAAGGCAGCTGTATTCTGTAAACGGGATGTTTCGAGTGAATTATATTCAAGCGTTGAGCGCGAATATAATTCAAGCGCGATACCTACCCAGAAGCGTTGAGTCTTTTCTTAGTTCTGTTTGGCTTATTTTCTGAACAATCGACACATAACAC